CAATTATAGAACATACATTTTAGAATACAGAAAAGATTCGAGAAACACAGACTAATTATAATTATTTTACATATTGTGAATTACAATGTGCATTTCAACATTATTATATTTACAGCATTATTAATTATAATGTGCATTTAACATTATTATATTTATTACATTAACATTATTATAGCAAAAAAAACCGAAGAGAATTATTAATTACTAAAGTAATTTAAGTTTTGAAATCTGTACATTATAATTTAATAAAATATAAAATTTCAGATAAGAAACAGCAAGATAAGATTCAACATAGTGCTCATATTAGAAAACCTCGAGCTGAATACTATGCTGCACTGTCGTGCTTGCAGACTCGTTAGTAATTTATCCGAATGTAGCTGGCACGCCAAAGAATTATGCGATGCTGGAGTAATGAAAACACTTGTGGCACTTCTAACGTTAAAAACCGATGTACAAACTTATTGCATGGCTATCAGAGCTGTAAGGTATGTAATTGTTCTTAATTCCCCATAGTAATTTATTTTTTCTTACTCAACTGTATTCCATTATAAATTTTATACATTTTATGTTACACAATTATCCATTTTAATTACATTCTAATTACATTTGTAGGAATATCTGGAACGTTTACAAAAACATCAGGGATACGATGATACAATTGGAAATTGTCAAGCTGATTGCTCAATTATTCGTTATGGCCGAAGAGAGGTTCAATGTAGATCCTAAGTATGGCAAGCTTGTGGATGCGTGCTTGAAGGCCATGTGTATATTTCTCGATACTTTAGACCCGCGATGCGGCAATCAGATGCACGTCGACAAGGACATGTGGGGTTACAAGTGTCTTATGCGTTGCTGCAGCGCAAGAAACAATAAGATGGCTGTCAAATGCCTTTATACTCTCTGTCAGATAGCGGAATGTCGATTGTGTCTAGGTGTTTCTGGCACAGTTAAAGAACTCATAGCTCTGATAATAGCGACAGACGCTAACTCCAATTTTATTTGCAAGGAGATATTGTTGAGCCTATGTTTATTTTGTCGAGAATCTGTGAATCGAGATAGGATCAGATTGAACAATGGATTACAGGTTATCTTGGCATTATTGAACAAGTCCGAGTACGAATGTTACCATCCTAAATTATTGGAAGCTCTCACACTATTCATCCACGATGAAATCGGCCTCGACATTCTGACGAGACATGGCATATTAGAGGTCCTCGTAGCAAAACTGACAAATTTTGTAGCTAAGAACAGTGAGAGAAGTAGCACATCTAGAAAACGTTCCAGCGAATATCTGATCGATGATTACGACAAAAGGCCTTCTAAATATCCCATTTCGAGGTAAAATAGATTACATAATGTATATATTTATAATATGTGACACACATCAGAATCTTGATTTGACATGTATTGAGTAATTAATTTGTCATTCATATTGGAATTAACTATTGATTTATTTTGAAATTTACAGATACAGTATGGATCTTTATCGTGATGATTGGAGTCCAAGAAGTGCTACAAGTGCCTCTTCCTCATCGCCACCTAGCACACCACCCTTGCCACCTTATTTCGATTTTAGTGCAGAAATTGACGATCTCAAAGATGATGTTTACAGTCCGGTCTACAGCGATAAGGAATGCGATAACGATGAAGGTACATTATTTTTCTTTAATATCATTAATACAATTTTTTTATTCTGTTACATATGATCTGTTTTAATTAAAATCTTGAACAAAGTATATCTAGATTCAAATTATTCGTCTAAATTAATGCTTCCACACTTTCTGTAGAAGAAGAAGCTGCTTCCCCTAGAAGCTACAAATCACCGACAACTGTCGAAGCTGATTCCGATTCTTCCTCTCTCAATGCTGAGACATTTTCAGAAACGAATGCTTGCGAATACTATACATTATTATTACTGAGTAAATTGAGTTTTTCTTCTAAACCTATCGACAAATTGGCCGAATCCATGACCATCAAATCGTTGATGGATTACATAAAATATACAAAAAAGCAAAATGTCCTAAAAGGCACTGCTCTCAAAATATTGATAAAGATCATAGGGTAAGATTTTTCAAATTATGAACCTCGTATTTACACAATTGTTTTTTTTTATTCTTTTATAAAAGTTTCATTCGTATCACATTTATGTTTGTCTAGGAATGCGGAGTATTTCATACCATTGGTAAAACAAGGGTTTGTATTCGAGATACAAACTTTGCCGGAAGCGGAAGAGTGCATGCGACATTTACATACAGTGGCGGATACCGGCGGTGCCACTGGGCAATTATCGTTTCTATTATTGCGCGGCGAAGAAGATTACAAACTATTGACCGCGGTGTCGATACCATTTCTCATTAAGAGGCATTGCACCCTGAGATGCCTGCTGAAAAAGCATGATGGAATGCAGCTAATATTTCGTCTGTTAGCGGACTCGTCGCATAAATTACACAAGCGGGCGATCTGGTCAATTTGTCAGTTGGCGAAAGCGTTTTATTCGGACGATTCGGACTCGATCACTGATACAGCTACAAACGCCGTTGAAATATATCGTAATATGAAACCATCGATAAAGTTGTCGTCGATAGTGATATTGGAGCTGGATGATGGCACGACCGTTAAAGCTTGCAGACAAACACTGTGCCATTACTCTCCAGTCTTCTCCGCTATGTTGGAAGGTCACTTCAGGGAGTCGAACAAGAGACTAATTCGACTGAGGAACATGTCACGTAATGCCCTAAAAACACTGATACTAGCAACGAACGATGATAGGTTCAAGAATCGAAGCATTGAATCACTATTGGAGGCTGTGCTTCTAGCCGATTATTTTCTCATGCCGAATTTCTTGATAGAGCTGTTAACCGAGACTTCTATAAACAAACTCAATCATGAAACCTTCTATCGAGCTTGGTGCTGGGCAAGGAAACATTCCTGCCATGAATTTAGGTCGTTTTGTGTCAAGAAATTTCTAACCACAAAAATGTCGTGGAGTGAAACGATGCGGACGTTCCATGATTTCTATACCACCAATGCCTTCAATGAGTTCCTATGCGAGATTAGGGACATAATTACGGACGAGTTATACCGATGGTAGAAACATTAGATGGCTATTAAATTCGGATTAATGCAATTGCGACGAATAGGAATATTTCCTCGAGATCTCTATAATAAATCTCCGAAGAATGAGCTCTAAAATAAGAATAGAGTAAACTTGGCTTTTTTTTATCATTAATTTATGTTTACTCTAGTCTTTGGAACATTTTTATGGGGGAATTCTTTGCATAAGCTTGGTGCATTTCTGATTAAAATTTTTCTATAATTTATACAAGATATATATCTCTGAAAAAGATGATTTTCTTTTTAATAAGAGATAAAATTAAGTAAAAATGTTTTATCAAAATATAGTGTCGAAAATGTATATATTTAATCAGATAAATGTTATAAAATAATTTTTATACGATACGATCATTTTCTCTTATGCAAAATTCAATTAATCGTAAAAATAATTATCTTATCTCTTGCATATTTGCAGCAATAATGTTACACATATTACTTGCTGTCATACAATGCAATTCTATGACAAATTCTCTTGATTTTCAAATGTATTTGTATATTAAAACTATTTTCCTCGTTGCATCTTAATAAAAACTTTCAATGATGAAATATCTGATGATCGAAGCTATGTAATCGAAATGCAAGGATAAATCTGAGTGTATTTATAATATCCATGAAGCTCACCATACTTTAAATAATGTTATTAATATTAGACATTAATGTTTTACAGTTTCTTTAATAACATTTATCTCATTAGATATACATTCGTCATTGTAATAGAAACCATCTTTTTCAAAGGCATCGTGTTTATAATTATCGTTTAAATATCTCGCGTTGCATATTATATATTAATTCTGTACATATTTTAAGATGTTCCAAGCATATTTTAAGCATTTGTACATAATAAAAAAATAACAGAAACATTTATAAAATCATCATCTTCCATGTATTAATGTTTTTCGTATTTAAAAATATATAATAAATTCTGTTTACAAAATGTTTTGAAGATATCGTTATATATAGTGTATAAAAAAGTCAAGAGAACAAACTCTTATGCGCGCGCGTTCGCTTTCCTAGATGCCTTACATATATATAAGGGTGTCTCGTAATATACAAAGCAATATATCTCCTTGGAAAAAAATAAGCATCTTTAGTTTTACTCATATTTGTAAAAATTCGTTTTCTAGATTTAAAGCTCCTGAGTAGTCACTTCAGTCATATTGAATCATGACGTATATGAAAAATGAGACCTTAATTTTTCTTGCATATCATTTGTAAATAAAGAGAATTTGGATGAAATGAAATAATGAGATCACTTTAAAACGTTTGTAAAAATGGGCGAAGACTCTCCTTATCTCCCCTGATAGTCAGTAAAGAGTCAAAAAAGGCTCGTAAAGTGAAAATAGACTACGTATGTACATTGAATAAAAACTAGTAAACGCACTTTACGTGCCTTTTACGACTATTTACTATCAAGGGAGATAAGGATAATTTTTGTCTATTTTTACAAGTGTTTTAAAGCGATCTCATCATTTTATTTCATCTAAATTCTCTTTATTTACAAATAGCAAGAAAAAATTATAACGTCACAATCTAATGAGTGAGTACTCAGAAGCCTTTTTTTTAAATTCATGATTTTTTTATGTAAAAATTTTCGATAATTCTGCTAAGTCTATTTACAATTTTTATAATGACGTTTATTTTTAATATAAAATGTTATTTGAATTGATATAAAACAAATGTCTGCACGATAAGAAATATGTACTTTCGGCTTTGACTATATTAAATCTATATAGATGTTTAAAACGCGCATATATATATATATGTATATATATATATGTGTTTATGTATATATAAATGTGTGTATATGTACATATATGCTTATATATGTATATATATATATTCAACAAATATAAACAAATTATGTATACATTTCTTGCATCGCGTCATTATTAATAAAATTTTCATTAATCGTCTTTCCGTAATCGTTTAACGTCTCCATCATATTTCTCTATCAATCAGCTTCAACCTAATAGATTCTGATGGTACAGATACCATACGCAAAATCATCTTAATCCTGTCCCTATTTTCGCATTCAATCTTGAAGTTTTTAATGAGCTACAAGGAAATAATATACGGCTGTAATCATGATTTGGATCCAATTGCATGATTAGTAACTTACCTGCGCCAACGTAAGAGACAATTGTGTTTCTGCGAGTCTCTGACCAATGCAGTTCCTCACACCTACTGCAAATGGAACATAAGCACGTGTATCTTTTACTCCTCGGTAGGTGAATAAATCTTCCTTCCCCGTTCTGAACCATCTTTCTGGCCAAAATTCATTAGGTCGTAGAAAATTATTTTCATCGCGACCGCTTGAATAAAGCGATAAGATAATTAGATCCTAGAAAAAAAAGGAGAATCATCTTTTTTAATTAGTCATTATCTAGTAACTTGTTCGGTAAATCGAATAATCTGCGAATGCAATTTGCATTAGAAATGCTTCCTGTTAACTTTACACGATTATTATTTTTACCCCTTTCGGCACAAAATAACCGCCAATTATGGAGTCCACTGGTAAATATCTCGTAAGGAATGGTGCGACGGGGTGCAGCCTCAAGGTTTCCTTCCACGTATATCTCAATAGCTGATGTTGCAAAAGATCTTCCAGTGGCAAATTTTTGATTTCATCGAATAATTGTTCTTGTAGCTCAGGGTGAGTACTAAGTAACAGCAATGCCCATTGCATAGTAATCGATGTCTAAATAAATAATAGAATTACAATTTTGCTGTGCAGACAAAACGTCCCATTACTTTAATTATTAATATAAAGATTAAAAATATCAATTTCAAAATCAATTGATTCAAATCAACTTTTTCTCAACCAGAATAACTTTGGACAAAGAAAGTTACATCGCAAATATCAAATCATCGATTTCAAATAATTAAATCCTTTATCGACTTTTAAACTTAAATTTATTTAATAATATAAGGAGCATATAAATCTGTACTGTGAAAAATATGAAAAATGTTAGTTATTTAAAATGTCAATTTATTAGGTCACACATCCTCAATATAACATAAATTAGTACATAAACATATTACCTAATTGTTATAATTGTGTGTCAAGACAATATTTAAAAAACGCTTGATTTCTTGCACGTGGCAATTTAAATTTATAATGGATTCGCTCACGCTCTTCGTCAGTCATTGATGTGTTCATATTATGTTCATCAGATTGTATCCTTTCTAAGATTGTATCCTTTATATTCGTTAATTCTTTAAAACAATTTAGATGTTATCTTAATTATCATGTTTTTAAAACACCAAGTTTTTTAACAATTATACAAGAATTGGAATTCTTGTGTATGAGTTGTTGAAAACCGTACACCACGGTTTGTAACAATTATACTGGAGTTAGAACTTGTGTGTATGAATTGTTAAAAATGATATTAAGACCGGACATTTAAATTGTTTTAAAGAATTGATGAATATAATTATAGAAAGCATACGATCATAATATGAATACATCAACCATTAACGAAAAACACGAGTGAATCCATTATAAATTTAAATGGCACATAGAAATCAAGCGTTTTTTTTTTAATATTGTCCTGACACGCAATTATAATAATTAGATAATATATTTATAGTAATAATTTAATGTTATTGATGAAAATGATAATAATATAAGGTCGAAACGAATATAATTATTATGTATTATCATTAAATCGACGTTTTAAATAACTAACGTTTTTCACATTAACATCCAGTGCAGGGTTATATGCTACTTATTAATTATTATTGTATATTTATGAGCCTTTATTAGAAGAATTTAAATTTATTTCTCTACGTCTTGTATTATATCCACATATCTTGTAACTAGATACAAACGAGAAATGATAATTCAATTTCAAATAAGTTAAAAATGTTTGAGGGGAGGAAAAGATAAATTTTTTCATAGAAATTCTCATATCAAGAACATTTTATTTTAAAACGTTTGATGTCTTTTCTTTGTTAAATTTTGTTATAACACATCCTGTATATACGAATATTAATAAATTAAACACGTACTGTGTCACCAGCAGCTACGACGAAATCGCAGATGATTCTGACAGCTTCATCTCCGCGGATACCATTATTTAAAATCATCTGCAGAAGTCCATCATTGTCTGATAACTGGATCATTGCTGGCACTAGTTTGCGTACCTTGTCCAGCACCTTGTCGGCAGCCTTAACGAACTTGTTCCACACTGGCAACCTAAGCTTCATCGCTAACTTGGCTGGCATCATTGAAAGACGTGAAGTATATGTGAAAATCTGGTGTAATGTCGTGGCCACATCCTCTATGTCACGACGTAACCACGGTTCGCAAGCATGCCATTGCGAACCTATCATGGTCCCTAACATCACTATAAAAGAATTATCGATCAACATCGCGCGTTGTTAATCGCGAAAAATCGTTTAAAACAATTTTACATAGTCGACGAATGCGCGCGTGATACACTAAATAATATAACGCGATTTAACAAAATATAATAATGTTAAATGCTGCTACATAAAAAACTCTATTATGTAATGACTCGAAATTTACCCTCGATAGACCACTGATACAGCTGATGTTCCAGATTCGGTATTACACAACCGATTCGGCTATACCTTTGCCATTCCTTCGTCAGATTTTCGGCGGCTTCCTGACAAGGTCCACAGAAAAAATTCTTTGCTATAGGTTTCAGCATTACTTTATTGAGGATTTTACGGTAATGCCACCACTCTTCTCCGTCCCTATTCCAACAGCGCAATGTTTTTTTGTTATCGAAATTATTTTATGACAAAATGAATTATTTCGCTGAGAAGAAGAGAATTCAGACGAACGAAAAATGTTTTGATTATATTAAAAGATTATAAGAAGAATTAAAATTTCCACAAAAGCATCTTATAAAGCAAACGTTTCGGTTACAATCTCATCGCTGAAATCTAATTCTATCGGAATTGATAACAATTCTTTTCTTTAACATACCGATGGGAGAACATCGTACGTACATGAAGAGCAGACCTCGGTTTTGTGTTCGAATTTCATTATACAACATCCAGGATTCCGGTAAGAAGTGCCGCGGCGTGTTACCCGCAAGATCGGCTAATACCTTACGATATTCAGTTGGCGAATTAACGAAAACAGCATCGATTGGTCCAATCTGGTCTCTGAAGACTGATCCAAGTTCTTGGTGCCTTTTGTCCACGTATTCATGTAGCTTTTTCGCACCACCGGACATTGTCAGGGATAATATTGAACCGAGCCAGGGAAGACCTCGTGGCTCGGGTGGTTCCTTCCTCGCCAAAGTGCCGAAATCTTGCGCGAATGTTCGCGATAACACGGAGCTCAAGCCTTGATTAGTGATATTCCACGAAGGAGTAGCATCGTTATTATTTAATAATAAAAATCGCAAATCGGATCCAAGAATTATTCCGCGCTTGGTAAACGAAACGTTAAAATCATTGCGGAAATTCATCGACCTCGCGAATCTTCGTAATGTTCTTGGTGTAGTATGCATCTCTTCGACGACACCAGGTATACAAGCCCGAGAGACGAATGTGCAGCTTCGCTGTCAACGAGAAATCAACTCGTGATCGTATCGAATCTGATACGCGTACCGATTCAGCGCTTCGCGATTCAGCAATTTTTTGTTCAAGTCAACGAAATTATTACAAGACAAATAATGTATGCAAACGAGGATAAGCAAGTTTTATAAAAAAAAAAATAAACGAAAACATCAGTTTAATGTACCACGCGACATGTAATGCCAATATTTTGAAATACAAGTAAATACAATATTGCTCGCTTAAATGTAATATAACGGTCAAGTTCTTTGTTTTTCGAATATTAAACAAGATCTTGTATCTGAAGTATGTATCACATAATATCCGGATATTTCACCGATATTTTTTCCCCTTTCAAGCCATCCTAACACAACTCATACGTTGGAAGGCGTGGTATAATCGGGAGATAAAAAGTGCAGTTAAGAAAACAGAATGATATAAATGAAACAATTATGTGCATGCGCAATCAAATTTATAATTTTGAAATTAATTAAGAAATATGATCAACGTTTCACATTCATGAAATAATCTTCATTTATAAAATATTTTTTATTTGATACTCAATATATATAATGCGTTATAGGATATTCGATATGTTGAAACAGATTACGCATTAATTATTATATTTTCCGTTTAATTCGAGTATAGAAAAAAACATTTGCTGTTAACAAAAAAATTAAAAATCTAATCAATTAAAAATGTGTGATTTTCATATTAAAATTATTCTTTTTAAATAAATATTATGATAATGACGTCAAAGTTTAAATTTAGACAGCCAAAACATATCTTCTTTTTTAATTTAATCTGATTGAAATTTTGTCTTTTACGCTCTCAATTAAAACTGTATAATCTATAAAACTATTTTTATTATTTTTAATACAATAATACATACAACAAATATGAACATCTCTCAAAAAGAGATAGAGATGAACTCTTTCACTTGAGCGAGCGATTGCGTCGACGGACCAAATCTCGAAGTGCAACATTAATGATAATACACTATCCTTTAATCCAGTGTTTTTCAAACATATGTATAATTTTAATTGATTTAATTTCAATTCAATAATTTTGATATTAAGCAATTAAGTTTTGCTGTCTTTAAGTTATACTGTGACTTTATTCAATTTGCAATCAATCTTTCCTCCATCGTGATATATTTAATTCACGATCGATTTAACTACATTTAATTAAATTTTACTCATAGCAGCAAGCTAAATTTAGTTCGTCCGCGATGAAAAAAAAAATTAAAGCGGTTCGAACCGGTTAGCAGTTCAAAAAGATCGTTATATATATATATATATATATATATATATATACATATATATATATAAGGAAATATCCTTTATTAACATATAATAATAAATGTATACACACCGATATTTGATTTTAATTAATTCCTCTTCTTCTGTCGTTATATTATATCGCAATTATCGAGCAATTGCACTTCATCCCAGGATGTTATATTTGAAAACTGAGACTCGCGTGACTTCTCCTCCTTCGTTATACTCAGTGTCTGAAGGCTCGAGCTCCGTATAAACTCGCGTACGTGCCGGTCTAACAAACTATGCTCGATTCTCAGGGGTCAAACTGTCGAACTCGCTTGGCGAGCATCTCGATCCTCACTATCGCGCATGCGGCCTCCTGGTTGCCGGTCGCTGACAAACCGGCCGGAAGCGATGTCGACCGGAAGCGGAGCGTAGTCGAGCAGTTCGAAATGACCTTCTGCCTTCCATGCGACTGAATTCACGACAGGCTTGCAGCAGGAGATCGGGTACCGTTATCTGGAACTGCTCCGCCATTCTATCCTTCTCGTCTTGAATTAGAGACGCGGTCAAATCCGCTTCCCAGGTTTCTATATAAGGTAATTAATTACCATTAATACGCTAAGCGCGCGCTTTTTTATAGAGAAATTATTTTGCGCTCAGCATCAGCCCGCGCATTTAAAATCCCTTACGTTTCTTAAGGGATAGGAATAAAGCAACCAGATCGAGTATCGATTGATCATATAGATAACTTTTTCCCTAGAATAAAAAGTAAAAATTTTTTATTTACAATTTTTACTTTTCAGATTTTCGATAAATCTAAACAATTCTATAATATGTGTTCAGGTATGTTTTTTAAAGCGTCTCACTTTCCATGCGGGGAAAAGAAAGAAAAGAGAATTCTTCTCTCCAAAAAACTTTAAATCGCTCCACAGGCTATACTACCTATAAATAAGACGCAGATATCTGAATGTCAAAATAGCTGAGACGGTTTGTCGAGAGCACAGAGAGAGACACTTCGATTACATCCCGAGATATGCTAACACATCCCGAGTTTATTCAAAATACATCAACTACGTGGAGTTTTATATCGTGTCTATACATTCCTGCGTCCTTCGAAATTTCGGATGCATCTGATATATACTTGACAAACAAGATCCACTTTTCTCTTTTTTCTCCGCTTCATCCTCTTCTATTTTGCTTCTAAAAAATAAATAGGAATGAAAGTCGTGACACATTTACAGTCCGATAATCATCAAGTAATTGTGATTTCAGGCCTTTTTGTAGAAAGATTCGAGTTAAAAGTCTCTTGCGCTTTGAAACGTCATGGAATTTTAAATTTCATTCGTCCCTTCCATTTTCTTTTAATTGTTTTTTTTTCAATTTTATCTGTTTCGAAACTTTAGGTGACTAATTATATTTGTTATATTATTTGCCAATGTACTTTAACTTTAATCTCGATTTTTTATCTCGATAAAATTCTTCATCTTTTTCTAATTATAAGGCCTGGTTCTGTCAATGTAAGATAAACTTCAATTTCAGTTTTGTTTCACAGTGCTGTTTACCTTTTTCTAATTCTAAGAATTAGAATTAGAAAAAACAAAGTGTAAGTCAAATCGAGATTTGCAATCAAGATTAAAATTAATTTTACATTGACAGAAGCGACTCTTAAAAAAAGAAATAAATATTAACTCTTTCTATATACGATGACATACTGATCCTTTATTACGATATGAGTTTGTGTCCCGGATTAATTGTCATCATGTTTATAATAAGTATACAAAAATTATAAAGATTTTTATGCTCAATATGCAGTATAATGTATCTTATAACTTTTTATTCTTTTTGTGACATCAAAAAAATTTGAAATTAAAAAACGGGACTTGAGCAACAATTTCCTTTTCTGAATTATATTCTATAACTTTACGTGTAAAAATATAGAATTAAATTTTTTAAATTTCGGGACAAAATCGGAGATGGGGGTAGCGTTGTATATTTACTATTCTTACATATACTTTAACATTTTTAGAAAACATTTATAAAATTGTACATTAAAAAAAAAGATAGAGATCACTATATAATTAATTTATCCTAATTAATTAATTTACTAATTAATTTATGCTCCTGTATTCCAAAGGAAAGAAATTCACAGAACATGAATGTGTGTGTATTAACGGTTAAAATATAATAAATATGAATGGAACGAAAATAGAGAAGGAAAGAGTTGGACAAGATAAAAAAAAGCGGACGCGTCATGGGCGCGGCCAACCTGTTTGTCTCGCGTTAATAATGATTACTTTAACGATCGCTATTTTAACATATTAATCAAGTACCTAATATTACAGTTGCGCGTTATTAAAGATCGAAGCAATATATTCCACGCTTGATCGATCTTAAGATTCGTTTTCTTCGCCGAGCTTCCGCACTTTTTTCCAAGGACCGTTCTCCAGCGGCAGGAAATCATGATTCAAAGCCAAGTTCACGGAGTATCGATATTTCCCGTCTCGATCGAAGTATCGATATCGCCCGCGACAGGCGCGAACCGCGCGACCTCTTCTCCATCTTTTGGCCCGTTTGTAGCCCATTTTGGAGGCTCGGCAATTGTCGGCGATCCTCCAAATAATCCTCGCATTTCTCGCGCGCGTTTAGCGGCGCGTGGTGCGACACTTTTGGACGTATCGCTTCTTCGCTGGTCTTCGCACCGGCCTGCACCGCGGCGTTATCGCGTCATTATTGGTAACGAGGCATAGTTCGATCTATCCGTCGGATATCGGCTGCTTTCGCCTTCTCGCTCCGAGTTATTCCGCGGTAACTGGCTGGCATTTCGTCCGCCACTTGTAGCAACTCGTAGGTACTCGTAGAAGTCATAGGTAAAGGAAGAACGTCGTCGTCGTCGTCGTCGACCCGTGGAGCTGCACTGTGCTGCACTCTGCTGCACCATCCTTTTTTTCTTTCTCTGACGCGCGTTCACCGCGTGTCTTGGGACTCCTGGGGTAAAAAAGTGCGAGCGAATCACGAAACCGCTGAAAAAAAGTCCTCTCCTAAGAAGCTTCTTGGACTTCATGGTTACTGAGCTGCCGTTTAACGGCTAAAATCAACGAGTTGAAGAAGAGAGAGATCAGACAAACCCATCTGTGGTCTCCCCAAGATCTCCCTTTCGAAAATTCATACAGGCCTTTTGAGATCTCCCTACATTCTGCGATCCCGACGAACATCATCAGTATCCTGAGATCGAATATCTTTTCCTCGACACGATGGATATTGACGCCGACACCTGTCTCAAGGAATGGAACGATTTGGTGCAAGACTACAAGGAACTCGAGGTGAGATTCCCTCATCGTAGAGACGTGTTCAGATTCCCATCTAGGTGCTCCCCAGGTATCATGTCATTCTTATCTAATGCACAATAAACAACAAGGATGGAATGATACCTGGATGACACTTGAGTGGGAATCTGAACTTAGCGTAGGACGGGGCTGACAAGGTTAGGTCTCATCCCCTCGTATCGTTATTCCCGAATCACGCCAAACCGCACGGAAGGAAGACGAAAACAAAATTGCGGTTTTGGTTTGATTTCGCAAACGTCATGTAATGTCGTGCGACCTTGACGATAAATCGATCACGCGCGAGCGACTTGTATTATTTTTCTTTACTAATCGCTCTGATTAATAATTCTGCATTTTAATAACCGCGAATGATGCTGCAGAATTTTATTTTAAAGTACAAGTATTACTACGCACACTCGCGATTACTTTCTGGATTATTCCAGTAACTCGTGCAATGTCAGAGCTAAAAGAAAAATAAAGTATGATTTTTATGCTTATCTGATGTAAAATATATCTAATTTGCACGAATATAAAAATACAAAAAATACATAATGTAATAAATGTGTAACACAGTGATCGTTTGATTTTTGTTTAACATTAACAAACAACAAGGATGTAATGATTCACTGTGTTACACTGTGTTATTTGTATAGGCCTGTTCTTTTTAGCTGAAGTTTTTCTCCAACATAAAGAGAAAAGGAAGAGAAATGAACCGTGCAAGAATTTTAGCTAAAATGAACAAACCTAATACATTTTTGGAAAATATCCATAAAGACTAACAAGAATGAACAAATGATCATTATCAATTAATCACGAATTAGTTATGAATCGAATCATGTTATGATGGTTATTTATTAACTGATAAACAAGATTGGAAGATGCTTTCCATTTAATAATCCAAGTTGATACAAGTATCCTTCTATCTTTTTTGATATTCAATGAATAACAAAGATAAAATGACACTTATATTATCAAATGGAAGACATTTATTGATTGTTGTTGTATTCTAAAGATATCTTATTTATTTTCAGGTACTAAATAGAGAATATATTTTGAAATTAGAAGAAATTGGTGAGCTGCAAGCAAAATGCGTCAAAGGTATCTCTCATCAGAAATATCGAATGGGTGTAATATCCAAGTCCTTAAAACAGTAAGTCCAACCTGTAAATTTTTTTTTAGAAGAATAATCGATAACTTTTAATTATATTAATTAATTAGTGTTTTTATTTATTAAATACTTAGAAAGATATATCGATAATATTTGGAATATCTGTAATTATTATTTAAATTAAGATATTATATATGACAATTTATATAATGTTTATCTATTTCTAGGCTAAATACAATAGAAACACAAGAAGAATTGCAAAAATCTATGACGAGGAGAGAACAGCAACTCAGGGAGATTGAGCAAACATTACCTAAATCAAACGGCATTTATTTACAAATTATTCTAGGCAGTGTTAATGTCTCCATATTAAATAAAAGTGACAAGTATGTTACTGTTAAGAATCATATCTGACATATCTTTATCTGGAGTGATTTCATAATAATTGCTTTCAGATTCAAGTATAAAGATGAATATGAGAAATTCAAATTAGTGTTGTCAGTCATTGGATTCGTATTATCTGTATTAAATCTATTTACCAATATAAGGTGAGATATTATCCATATAATTTATTATAATCAATGTTGCGTTTTCTATTTTAAATTATGTACTATAATAAGACATTACATTTTTATTATTATATTACTAAATTTATTATATATATTTATTTATAATCTATTGTGTTTTATTTTATATTTCAGAACCTTAGAACTTAGTTTTATGTTTCTTCTCGTTTGGTACTATTGTACATTAACGATAAGAGAAAGTATACTCAAGGTAAATGGATCAAGAATTAAAGGATGGTGGAGATTCCATCATTTTCTCTCAACAGTGGTATCCGGTGTTCTACTAGTCTGGCCGAATACTGGACCGTGGTATCAATTTCGTAACCAATTCATGTGGTTCAATGTGTATATCAGTGAGTATTGCATAATTTCTAGCAAAATGTCATACAAATCTAATAGTATAAAAATAATACAGATAAATAAAGGTAAATAGCTCTAGAATTGAAATATAACTAATAACACTATTTTATTTTCAACTATGTATAATAGCTAAACTTTTAACTAATATTTTTCAGGTATAGTCCAGTATTTGCAATTTCGATACCAACGTGGCGTTTTATACCGGTTAAAAGCACTAGGAGAGAGGGACAATATGGATATCACCATTGAGGGATTTCATTCGTGGATGTGGCGCGGTCTTTCATTTCTGCTGCCGTTCCTCTTCGCTGGTTATTTATTTCAGCTTTATAACGCGTATACGTTGTACGAACTAGCATATCATCCGGAGGCGACATGGCACGTACCAGTGCTTAGCGCCATGTTCCTCGTACTATTTCTGGGTAATACCACTACCACCATCATGGTAATCCCACAAAAACTCGTCAAGGATCGCGTTAAGGATCAACTGTTCGCTTTTAAACCCGATCGCAGAAAAGAGAGAAGAACACGAGATAAGGACAATAAAGATGAAAAAAGTGAGTGAAGGAAGAATTTTAAATACTTCCAGCTGATGAAAAGTTCGACTTAATTACATGGAAAATAAATTGGAGGAAAAATTAAACAAAGATGAATACGCTATAAAGTGGTGTTGGTGTTGGCTCTAAAATATAACGAACACAGTACTTTGTTGCGTTTAGCAATGGAAGTAATACACGTATACATATACACGCATACACGATGTGAGTGACTTTGATCACAAATAAAGAAGTTTCCGCGTATTTTTAATTACTTTACTCTTGGATAGTCCATTGTCAAGTGTTCTCGAAAACATTCTTTATACTCTTTGACCGTCCTGAAATAAACTTGTCTAATTCCAACAATAGGCTCTGCTGCTCAACGAATTTTGACAAATTAGTTTTTTATATAAGAAAATGTATTTAAAAAATATCATTTTTCAATTATGTTTCAAAATTAAGAACCTCCATAGACAGAAATTATGCAAATCTATTTGAAATTAAATAATTAACATATATTAATTATTTTGTGTGTGTGTGCGTGTGTGTGTGTGTGTGTGTGTGTGTGTGTGTGTGTGTGTGTGTGTGTGTGTGTGTGTGTATTCATACATGACAATTAATAACAATTGAATAAATTAATCAAAATTAATTAAAATTAACGTAATTTTTTTAAATTTTATTTTCTTCTGAAAAATATCCATTATTTAGAATTTCTAATTAAGCATCATTTGACGTCACGATAGTTTTGATTGAAGAAAAATCAATTCCAGATTCACATCACAATTTGTTCTATTCCATTTCGAAATCTACATATATATTCACTTGGATTACTCCAAATATACGCATTTATTTTTAATTGAATTACTAACTCGATATTATGGTTCTATCATGACACGCAATATGATGCGCAAATATTGACCCAAACACAAATCGCATTCGATAAGAGGCGGGCTAATCTATATTTGCGGTAATTTATATGTGTATACACACACACATATATATATATATATATGTACACAAATACACACGTACAAATGCATATGTACAGGCTGTTTTCTTAAAATAACTAAAAGTACTAGCGAAATTCAGAAAAATTATGCTCATATTTGACAAAATACTCTATACACACACACATACACACACACACACACATGCATCTAAATTACGTAGTTACTCTACATGCAGATATACATGAATATACATATACATAAATACACGTGATATCACGTTTATTTCGTACGAGATATCGCACAAAGTGCACCGAAAACGAATCTTGTATAGTATAATTATGACATATTTTGCTCCAAATGTATTTATTGAAATGTATTTACTCATGTGTAAATAAACGCATACCGAGCCGCCTAATCCTACAACGATAATCCGTAGTTGAAAGTTACTTGGACACCGAGTTGCTAATCCGAATTTTCTTTAACAAGTTTCTCTTTCCTTTAACACTTCTATTCCGTTTATATCATATCTGAGCATGAAAATGCATGTCTTGTCAAACACCGTGAATGATATTTTACTGCGGATACTATAATGAATTAATATAAAACGTACACAAATTGTATATATTATGTGCATTTTATTATATAATAATTAACAATATATATATATTTTTGACAAATTAAGTAGGAGCGAATGATCCATGCATATCAAGTGAGTTGATTTTATTGAAAAATTCTTATTTTCCTACTTCCTTTTTCTTCATTATAATTTTAGATATGATCTTGACTTCATCTAAAAAAAAATTTCAAAGATGCTATTTTTCTATCAAATGAAAAAAAAATTCTTGATGGGTGAATTAATACACCGTTCAGCAACTTCTAGATCCACCAAATTCAAAGTGCAGATACTAGCTGGAGTGAAATTCAAACGCAAAGGAAGAAGAGAGAGAATTAGCGTACATGCAGATAGAATATAAATCAATGAGAAGAATTGACTAGAACTGGCAACTATAGCTACGCCACTGTCTGAAAAAGCAATAGTCATCACAATCTACGACGCTTAGGTAAGCACAACCAGTCTTTATCGACATTCTCTACGAGTGTGCACGTCGCGCGAACTTTGCACATCCTATTCTACTGTCTGTACATTAAAGTGAACAGGTGCGCATTGAGGAGCCAAGATGCCGGTAAAGATCAATTGGCCCATGTTGACGGCGACTGTCTGCCCTAACATTGGCGGCTGGATCGACAGCTACTTCGTTAAAAAAAATATGAGCTGGTACGAGGTGAGATGACATCACATGCAAGTGCGTCGGTAAAATTATGTCATTGTTGCGATACGAGAAATTAAACAAAGCGTTATTTATTTGAAAGAATATTTCGTTGCTATGCGCTTTTTTTGCAGAATCTAAATATAAACTCGCAGAAACGTTTGTAGGTGAAGGTCATTTGGTATATGCACGAATCGATATAATAGTAACTGGCGAAATGTAAATGGTGCTACTTAGATCATTCGATCCACTTTGTGTGCTGCAATATAAAAAATCATATCTCATATCTTGATTTATCTTCATTAAATTTTAATAACACACAGGAATTATGCAATATTACTACTATTTATAATACTATTCATAATTACTTGCAATTATATTTCTTTATAATCTGATATTTATAATAGTTTACAATTATAATTTTATGGTTATATATAATAAATATATATCATGAATTATTTATATTTAGAAATATTATAACTGTATGTATTTATCTAAACTTCTTTCGTGTAACTATATATTATCTATAATCATGATTATGATTAGCTTAAAATTGTGTAATATTTATCTTTACAATTATTCATAACATACGCGATATATAAATGCAAATTCCAACAAACAGACTCGGACAAGATACATATCTGAGCATTGTACTCATAATCAATAATAATTATAGCAAATAATTCCGCGAATCTATAATCAATTCGGTTACTTTTTTAAGAATTTATAGTCGTCATAAAATCTCTCATTCAGAAAAGTAATACATAAATAATATACCTTTTTTTGGATGTGTTTTTCTATTATTTCGCAATATCTTCTTTCTCTATGTAATCTTCATATGTACAGTCTTTCAAAAAAAGAACTACAAAACTTTTCAGGTTTACATCCATCTATAAATAAAGAAAAGATTTTATGTAATAAATATAAAGATCTATATAGAATTTGTCTTATCGGCAATTTAAATGTCAAGCTTATTTAACGGATTACTCGATATAATGAAGAAAAAATAATTATGAATATCGATCGCTTGAATGATGAGCATTTAAATAATTTAAAGAGATTTATGAATGCTCGCATTCAGAAGAAGTTCATTTCAAAGATGCTATTTTTCTATCAAATGATAAAAATACTTGATGGGTGAATTAATACACCGTTCAGCAACTTCTAGATCCACCAAATTCAAAGTGCAGATACTAGCTGGAGTGAAATTCAAACGCAAAGGAAGAAGAGAGAGAATTAGCGTACATGCAGATAGAATATGAATCAATGAGAAGAATTGACTAGAACTGGCAACTATAGCTACGCCAATGTTTAGGAGGCCTACACACATTTTCCCTAACAATAACCATAAGGTATACCGTAAAAATTAATCAATCACAGTCAAGAATTGTCAAAAACTTTCAGCTTTGATTGGTTAATTCTTATGGTACGATTACTGTTATGGAAAGTGCGGGCCCCTTAGTGCTTTTTTTTTACGCTATTATATTTTTAGATTTAAAAGAATCTTATCTCAAGGAAAAAACTTTCAATAGTTGTCAAATAAATATTCTGAACACGACCATTCACTACAAAAAACTCAATAATTATATATAACTTGGTATAACTATAAATCTGTAATCATGCTTATGTAATCAGTGAGTTAGGGCACAATCTATGATTCCGTGAGTATCGCTTTATAGGATACGTAAGAAGAAGATAGGTTTTTGTAAATATTCAAGAGAAAATCAGAAATCTTTTCTAGAATATTTATGTTGCAAAGTAAGTGCCGATACGTTATTTCGATACTTTTATTTCGCTTACACAAAATCTCTTTTCGTGTGAAAGAGAAATAGGAGGCTTAACTTAAAGAATGACCAAGCAGCGCTTCTATCTACCGTCAATCGCGGAAATGCTCAAGTGTGTTTACAATAAATTACACCTTACCGCTAATGATATAATAACACGTATATATCGCTTTTGTACGTATAGATGTGTCCGCCGCGCTTAATCCGTCACTCTCTTGTTCCAGACGCTGAAAAAGCCAAAGTACACCCCGCCGAATTGGGTATTCGGGCCCATGTGGACCACCATCTACTGTACAATGGGCTACTCGTCGTACCTTGTATGGCGAGATGGGGGTGGCTTCGAGGGGGCGGCCGTACCGCTCAGCGTCTACGGCCTTAATCTCGCCCTCAACTGGTCGTGGACGCCGCTATTCTTCGAGACTCGTAACATAAAATTGGTATTACATCTGATTACATACACATACACACGCGCGCACGCATACATTAATCGTAAATCTCTGAGATCGTTCGAGTGTTTTTCGCATAATTTTATCATAATTATAAATTTACCATTAATCAATTTTTTATTGCTACATTATTTATATTGGAAGATATCTAGGTAGATTCAAGATCTTTTCGAAATTCGCATCGCTTAATATTAATCCTAATTAACACAAATAAGTGACGAAAGCTATAGAAGGTCATATTCGGTCAAAGCAAATGATGATGTCTGATAATATTTTTGCGTGACTCTTACAATTTCTAGATCAAGCAAATGGCGCGCCAATTATTTGTTGTCTTGAAATACAACGGACCTGGACCCCTATTCTTAAAAAGTATCGCATACGAAAAACTAGAGAAATGCTATAGTATATGTAACACATACTATAGTATTTCCATAGTTTTTTCGTATGCGATACTTTTCAAGAATAGGGGCCTTGCCCTTTTTAAACTAAACTTGCAGAGTTCACCTTTTCTTTTTTTCTTTTCACATTGGAGAGAAAAAGAAAGGAACTAAATTAAAGTTGGAATACGTAATAGTACAAATTAAATTGTTAAGCAATTAATAATGTTGATGCTAATGAGGATCTTAAAGAATTGTAAAGAATTTATTGCGAAAAATATTTTCTCGTCAGGATTCGAACTTGGACCTCTACGTTCCATGTGTGACGAGTATCTTACTAATTCTATCTAATTCGTGAATAAATATATGACTAGTGAAAACAGAGAAACTAGAAACTAATTTCTTTTTCATATAATTACGAAGAAGACAGCTTATATTTTTTTTCAAATCGACTTGAATTTATATTTTTAGAAGTAAAGATTATATATAATCAATAAAACTTTATAAGAATATTTTGTATAATACATAATCTCCATTTTTAAAAATATGCAATAATTCCTGGTTAGATAAGACGATTTGAAAAAAAAAAAAAGTTATCAATGCCCAATTTGCTCGAACAATCCCTGAATCTTACAATGATTTTAGACCGAAGCGAGTTTAGAGATTGCTTTGAATGTGGTTAGATCCAATTTTTGCGAACTCATGTTTAACTGATTTTAACGAAAAATCTATTTTATACATATAATTATTTCCCAGTATATTTTCAGTTTAATTTTCAGGACAAGAACGGTGTATGTTTCAGATTTTTTATATACGATCTGTCACAACATTAAAAATTTTTTTCATCGAACTTCAAATATATATCTATTTCATTTTAAGTACAACGAGTATATACTAGTTCAGCTACAAAGAACCGTTTTATAAATCATTTTTATAAATCATTTAATTGGAAATAGAATGACATCGTTAAGCATTTTTGGAGCGATTCTATAAAACTTCGCTTCGGTCGAAAATGTTATTAAGACTATCGTTTTACATCCGTACACAGGCTCTCTACGAAATTGCGGCGTTGTGGATCAGCACGGCGGCGGTTGGGGTCGTGTTCTTCCACGTTAATCCCACTGCCGGCTATCTCATCATTCCCTACGTCCTGTGGAACTCTTTCGCCGCGACAATCAATTACATCATCTATCGGGATAATAAACAGCCTCCCGCTATTGAGAAAGCCGAGGGAAAGAAGAACTAAGGAAATTTATATAGCAAAAGAAAGGGGGAATAGAGAGACACACAGCGATGCCGTGGACGTCTGCTTAGAAAGCCAACTTTTTGATGTTAAAAGAGCATTCCTCACGAGATTAATGCTAATGGTGGGCTTAACAAGTACTTTGAGTAAGATTTAAATATATAAAAATCGAATATTTGCATATATCTCTGTTAAAAGAGATCTTTTATGAAAGCGATGAAAAGAGGAGAATCACCGCGAAGTATTTCTATTAGAGTCTATTGCTTTTTCTTTATTTGTATTAGTATAGCATTGAATGAAATACTTTGTAGTAGTTTTTTTTCTTTTTTTTCTATGTAAAGTTATTTAAAAAAAGATTATGTGCGAAAATACTTGTTATTCAAAGGCGTTGAAAAACTTGGTATCATTGCATTGATATGAATAAGTCTAAGCTTATCAATTGGCTGTTCTTTTATAATCTTAAAAAAATTGAGATAATCGAGTGCCCATCATTCACTTTCGTACATCATTATCGTTATGGACCACTTCAGTCGTCGGGTTCGACGAGACGTGCCTTTGCATTGAACGCACAACGCCGTTAGTATACACATGTTTATTGATCGATATACGAAATAAAGATCAGCTAACCGACCACGTGTACGTACATTATACAGTGTAATATCTTAAATGTACTATATATAAGCTTTAATAAATCATATAAAGTAACCTGGGAAAGGATGGATGGGAAACAGATGGTGTGGACAGGAGACTTTCATTTTCTTCACTGTCTACCCTATTCCGTATGGAGCTACGGAGTCTTCTTTAATTAATTAGCCTCGGTAAAGTAATGTCAGCCGTGAATTTGGAGAACTCCCGCCTTTAAAGCTGTGATCTTGGCATCAATCTCGCCTTTTGTACAGAATAGGGCAGAATATATTACAGAAGAGCGATATCGAGTACGATGATACGGGCGGCTGCTCGAGCGGGATCTCTTGTAGGCGGCTATTGCCGCCGTATTCAGCTGCCATGTTTCACAAGCGCTACGTGGGTTCGGTTGCGTAGATGTAGCCTTGTTGTTGTAGCACGTACAGTCGCTTTTCCACTGCCTCTTTATCTGAAATCAATGACAAACTGTGATCACTATGAACGATAAAATAAGATAAAATCGAACAAAGATTATATTGGCAAAATAATCTAATTTTATTTTTTATTATAAATGAGCGAAAAAGAGACTTAACAAATACATCTTACACAATGTATAAAATTGTAATTGATAAGTTAAATTGATAAATAAATATTAAGTTGATGTGCAAAGGTGTTTTATATTTTTGCGGTTTATTTTGCATAACACGAGCGAATTTTACACTTTTATTTTGTTTTTATATTAAATTAAAATTTTAAATATATATAAACTAAAAAAGAAGTTACACGAGTCATCAAAAATAATCGAGATAATATTTTTACTATCATCGAAAATATTTTTTCTAGATTTTTCAAAGTCATTAAAAAAAAATGAACAGATTTGTTTACGATTCAACGAAGATCCATCAGAGCGAAAACAATACGTACATTTGATAAGTAGAGCTCGATCCTGACTATGGCTGACATGTTGCGCTAACGAATGTAATAATATTTGCGCCGTGTGATATCGTTGGAAACATTCACCACCTTTTCCGAATAGCTCGTCCAATGCCGCTGATTGACACTGTGAAAGTATAAATAATCCTATCAAATACTTCAAATATCATATTAATCGAAATTGCATTGTTTTTAATCGTCAAACATAGACGTATATTCAGCCTCAGGATAAAGAAATCAGAGGCGTGATAAGCGTAATTTAAAAAATATAGAGTTATTTTTTGATACCATGTGAATCGCATGATTGTACAGTATTTTGTCCGCCGTAGCTCCTGTTTGACGAAGAAGCCCCACGCTATTCAGCTGCTTGCATTCCGTCAAACACGATTTGAATTTCTCGTTCATAGTACTGACAACTGCAATATTTAAAAAAGAGCAATTTAATTTAGTTACAGTTTATATAGCTCATATATCAACTTAAGTTTAATTAACAAATAATATATGTAATAATATATGTAAGTTTAATAAATAAATTATATAAAGTGATGTGGCTGTCGCAATACTTTTAGCATTTGTAAAGAAATTTATTCTTAATGATAATATATAGAAATAGACACTAATGTGTCTTTTAAGTTACAAATAATAAAATATAGAATGCACTTCATAATTTGAAAGACACATAGAAACAAAATCTTACATCGCATTAATTTATATAATACCATGTATACAATGGTATATGTATGGATTTATTTTAAAACAAAATTTTTAAATTTCTAGGATTTTTTAATTTTATATATTCTAAAGTTTTAGAATCTGTTTTAAAATTCAGGATAAATATTTTAATTTAAAATTTGAAATGTTCAAACTTAGCATTTAGCATTTTTAAATATATGTGATCCATTATCAATATCTAATGTTAAAAATACAATAATAAGAACTTTACCATCCTTCACAGTGGCTGTTGGTTGCAGCCTTCCTGCTTTAAGTTCCTGAGTGGCCAAATTCAGACCGGAGCTAAGCCACTGAAGAGCTCGTACCAGAAGGATGACCTGCTCGGCACGTTTTCTAGTGGCTGCATTGCCAGCCTGTTCGATGCTGCCGAGAGGTGCCGGTTGTTCGATGTTTCCGAGCGGGCCAGCCCTGGATCTGGCGACTTCGCATACGCATTCGCACAATGCTACGACGAAATTCAACTTGGCCAGAATCTCGTTGTGCTCACGCTCCATAAGTGTCTCCTCCGGTAGCTCCGGCGCAATAAACGTTAACGGACGATCTTCGATTGTCGTCGGAGGTATATCGGGAAACAGACTTTGGAAACTACCGGCTTCTATAGATAAAATAGATAATTAAAAGTCAATAAGTATATCTATGATTTATAGGGAAAGTACGTAAACGATTTGTAGAGAAAATATTTCTCTTTTTTCATACTTATCTAATATAACTTTCGAACAAAATATCCATTAAGACGACATTGGAATTATTAGATTATAAGTTAGTGACTCTCTACTATGATACAGATATTCCGCACAGCTCCGACGTTAGATTTTTTGACAATAGCCAAAGCATTACCAGATATTTCCGGAAGAGTGACGGCCCTTGTGCCGAAGGGTATGACAGGCGAATGTCTAAGAGTATTGTTGTTGTCTTGAAAAGCTCGCGAAGTAGGCGAGCCGAGTACTGCTAGTGGACCTGTGAGCAACGGCGAGGATGCACTGTTATTACCCGTGGAACGTCGTAACGGTGAGGTTCCACTCGGCGTGTGTGAATGTCTCGCTACAGGGCTGACTTGCCATGTATTGGGTGGTGGTGGAGTCTCGCTCAACCTAATTATTGATATTAACTTTAATCTTTTAGTTTAGTTTACGTTTTATTATTTCTGAATGTCTGAATCTTTAATAAAAAAAAAAATGATAAAAGGTTTTATAAAAATTCAATATAATTTTAACAAAAAAAAAAAAACAAAACAAAGTTTAATAAACGTACAATACTAGATTAACAGACTGTTAATTGTTCCATGCGATTTATTTATTCCATTAGCAACGTACAAAACGTAATTAAATGGAATGTTTCTATTTCTGCCAAAGATAGAATTAACTCTAATCTCAGTTTAATTTATTCTTTATTTTTCCTAATCCTTACTAAAAAAAATTAAAAAATTAATTAAATTAAAATTAAAATTAATCTATATTAATAAGAATTAAAATTAACAAAATAAATTAAGTTTTCTATAAAAATATATACATATATATAATTACTTTTTATTAATAAAAATTATTTCTCTTTTTCTCTTCTAATTATTTTATTATTTTATTTTAATTCAAGAAAGATAACAGAATTCTATAATTTAGATTATTTAAGAATCTACAAAAAAAAGAGAAAAAAATTTTTGAATCTAAACTCATTTGAAGACATATCCATACCTTCTACCGGGTGGAGTGCCGATGACAAACTGCACACTAGGTGGACTGAGGGAACCAATGCTTGGTGGATGATTTCTGTGAGAATCCACGCTGCGTTTCATGCTGATCGGTTGTGAACGAGGCACGACACTGCTGCCAGAACGGGCAGCATTTGTCGAAGGAGATTGTGGTGGTTGCTGAGCCACTGCGTTTCGTTGACATGGAACGGGAATTGGCTCAGAAATCGGTAGATAGCATGGTCTGGGTGGACTGATGGCTTCCCTACTCGTCTGTTTAGTATATCTAATGGATAATCATAGAAAAGTAATAAAAAATACGATAATAATGCCAAAATAATAACTTGATCTTATGTCTAAAAAATTTGTAATTTGATTAAAATTGATATATCTAAGAAGAATAAAATGTTACATACTCGCCCAATTTCGATAAACACGGTCGAGGTGGACTAACAGCTTCTCTGCTTACTTGTTTGGTATACCTAAGAAATACTGAATGTAAGATAACCATTCTAATAAAACATTTTATATCTAAATAACAAAGTAAAAATAAAGATATAAAAATATATGAAGATTACGAAATCAGTTTTAGAGCATATTTCAAACTCGATATTAAATTTTTCCTGATTGTTTTGCATAACTTTTACTAACTTTTTTTTGTCTTCATTTTTCTTTTCAGATCACCATAATATATGTATACTTACTTGACTGGCGGATTATTGTCAGTATCGCTACTGATGTCGCTCGGCACAAGGACGAAATCATCATCGGGACTAGAGCAAGGAGTTTCTGTCGTCTCGGGCTCCAGTCTATTGACAATCGGCGTTCCTTCCTCAATCGGAATTGCCATTGTTCCTGGTGACGCCGGTAGCTCGGTAGGCACGGGGCTTGGACTTGGACTCTCTCGAACACCCGTGAGGAAAGGATGACCAAAGAATTGATCGAAATCCATACGGTCAGTCGCTTCGCGCCTCAGCAAGCCCATCAAGAGATTCGTCAGTTCAGTTGATGTTCCAGGTGGTATACTAAAAGAATAAACAT